GATAAGCAAACTTTACACGGATTATATCTAATAAACTATGAGATTCATCTCTGTATTTTGGGCATCCTTATAACAGATGGGTCCTTGAAAGTCAGCAAAACGCTTTAGGGCCTTGTAAATGAACGCGATTTCGAGCAAAGCAAACATATAGAAATTATAGTTTTCGCTATTTGTTGACGCTTGTCAGCGTTTAAGAGTCAGTCTCACGAAAAAAGCATTTTCTTAAAAATTCGTAGTTTTTTTTCCTTCAAATTTTTTCAGGGCCACAATTGATTAACTAACTACCCGGACTCTGAATTTCATGGTCATTGAAAAACTGTGACATTACCTTCTATAAGCCCAAACTTGAGTAAACATTGAAGATTTTTAGCGTTTTGGCTGAGTTTGTGCTTTGGGAGTTGTCTTTCGTTTCTAGTCTGTCATTATAAAGCATTCTTGTCCAGCACGCGTGCAATGACCACGCTTGGCTGACTTCGGAATGCTCACCGAGATATGATAATTTAGTATAAGAAAATAGAAGGGATTCCCGTGGCTTGCATTAAACTTATGAAAAAATGATATTTTTTTAATAGTAAGTAGATTTAGTGTGTAGCACTTCTTGATTTTTTTGCAAAGGCACAAGAAGCACGAGAATTGATTAAAAATTGTGAGTTAAACCTCTATGTATCACGCGATAGCCTGTCTTACTGTACCAAAATTATCGTATTCGGAAGTCAGCCAAGCGCGGTCATTGCACGCTTGCTGAACAAGAATGCTGTATAATGACAGACTAGAAACAATAGACAACTCCCAAGCTTTTTTAGCTTTTAGCCCTGGCTAAATCTATATATTATAGTATACTTTGAGAATTGTAGTGTCGCTGACAAAATGAAAATCCTGTTCGGTTTTGGCTTTCTTCTTTGCATTTCAGTCGGTAAGTGGTTTTATTACAGTTTTAGCTCTTCCTTTCCGTTTAGATAAGGGCAATGCTGTAGGAGTTTTGCTCTCTGTATACTCGCGGCGTCTAAGATATTCGGAGCTTTTCTACTAATTCTACGAATTTCGGGGCTTGCGTTTTCACCCACCATTATATCAATGTATTGCAATTAGTTTCAAAAAAGGTCTCCCGCCTGAATTTTCTAATGAAAGCACGCCTGCTACATGTCCTCGAACTTATACCGGCAGAGTCGCTAACAGTTTTGGATGAGACGAAAAAGCCACCTTAAACTTTCAAGACGTCGACTAAAGTTCCTCTAAGACGTCCGAACAGATCAATTATTTTTAGAGCAGCTCCAAATTAACCCCCCCCCCCTAAAAAAAACATTTTAGATATTCTCACTGAAGGCGTTCTTGATCTTTTCTCTCTAAATAAATGGGTGGGCTCGACATCTTGCTCACATTTTCACCCCGAGACGACGAAAAAACATCGTACTTCTTTTTTTCCTCTCTCACTTTATGATTTGGTTCGGAACTTTAATTAATGTTAAATCAGATCCCTATAAATGAGCAAATGTGTTATTGTTAAAGCTGATGTAGGTCAGGTAGGCTTTCCGTTTTTGCATTTGGTCGTCAGGAACTGATTTAATTTGACGTGTCTGTTAGGACTAATTTAGCGCGGGATTGATACTGAAGTTACAAATAGGGGGGTTATCCCCTTCGAGCTCTTTTTCTTTCCTATCATCTTCTTCACCAAAAGGTCAGGTACTCTCTATTAACTGTAACTATATGTTGACGAACGTATACCCTTGAAGTTCGTTACGAAAAGAAATTCCATCAGGGAATACTACAAGTCACGTAACTGGATTCGAAGGAGGAAGGACCTAAACGTCCAAATCAGGAGAAACTTGTGTGAGAATTACAGGCAAGCATAGAAAATGGCCGAAAAATTCACACGTTTTACAACAAAGAAATAGCCGAACTGCTGCGTAAAAACATAGTGGCAAGAACTGCGAAAATACGGCGGATGACAGCTGATACTTTTTGAAGAAGATCTACTAGACTAATAAACATCCCGTTTACATTTTCCTTACATCTATCCGGATGTAAGCACGTCTTCGTTTTGAAGTTTTAAGCATGTCTTAGTATGAATTATTTTGAATGTATAATAAAATAATTATTGGATTCAGCTTTCGTATGATATGAACAATTATGCAGATCTCGGAGGTTGTTCCAGATTCATATTTCTAGGCAAGGATTACTTTGAACTCAAATGTCTTAGTGAAATAAATACATTACCTTTGCAATATCGCCTAGGAATCTTGATTAATGATTTGATATTATTTTTTGAATGCTGTTGCAACAATATACGTCCTGAAAGTGTTTTAGATTATGTAAGCCAGTTTCCCCTTGCGATATATTGAAAGCGCTCTGAAACGTTCATCATCTAACACTTAGTGTCACTTTTTGTAGTTCCAAGGCCTTTACTTTAAAAATTTCTTTATTTGTGGAATGAACTAGTGCTTCTCAATATCAGAAGTCTAGAATAATTTCTGAGTCTGTCGTAAGATTTGATTGCCCTCTTTTATGATAAATTTAGTTATGCCATTTTTTATAACAATTTCTTTTTGTGTTTCTACCAAAATTTATGTTGTTGCTTTCAATTATTTCCGGCATATATAAAACTAGTAATTAGAGACTATCTGTGATACGAAAGGCTCTTTATTCGCCAAAGAATCTTGAAGTCTGTTTTAAAGCTGACCGTAGAGACCGTAGATTCTCTGGATTGTCTTGTGCAATGTAATGTAATTAGGAACTTGATAAATAAATTCATGAAATGAATAATAAGCAGTTTTTCCTTTGATAGAGAAGAAACCGGGGGAACTTGGACAATCAAATGATGAAAAGAGCCTCATAATATTCAATTGAATACAACTTCATGACTGTGGATATTTGATCTTTCCAGCATGAAGAATCATTTCCTTCCACTTAACCGCAAACGGTGTTGTCTAAGAGGTTGGTCAAGGGGTGTTCGTCTACACTATCCGACTAGCACAAAATTTTTTGGTGATAAAGCCAATATATACTGGATGGCTCATTGGCCTTTATGATCACCTAAGGAGCAACGGGCTATAGTAAAGAGGTTGGAGTTGGCTGGAATCGAGAAGTAAACAGTGCGTAAATTAAAGCAGAAGATCTCTATGAAGATTTGAATAGAGAACGTTCAGGATTGGACTTTTTTGCTTTTACAGTTAATGATTTAGATTATTTTAGGCCTCGTATTTCGGTTGATTTAGCTTGTTAACGCAATATATGTCAGGTGCACATGTATACCCAGTATTATCCGAAATCTTATCTGAACGCTGCTGAATTTTTTCCGAAATCAACAAAATTCAGTTTGATTATTGTTCCCCTGAAATAGATTGTCCCGGAAACGTTACTTAATTGTATTTATGACATGTCAGATTTTGAGGCCACAATGATTGAAATAACTGACTGTTTAGAAAGATAACTGAACGTAGTCAATAGGGCCATTTATACGAGGAAAAATAAGACGCGTCTTACATAAGACGCGTGTTAAATAAGACGAGAACTTTCCGTATAAACGGCACATTTCGTCTAAAATAAGACGCGGCTTAGCTAAGACGCGTCTTATTTTAGAACAGCCCTTAACACCTGTTCTTAGATAAGACGCGTCTTAGCTAAGACGAGAAAAACTTTGTATAAATGACCTTCGCGTCTTACATAAGACTTGAACGCATAGTACGCATGCATAAATTTTTGGCGCGCCACGTTGGATCGCCGTTGCTACGGGCAACATTCACATGAAAACGAGTCAAGAACTGAAATAAGACGCGAACCATTTATACGAGCTGTTCTCGTTTTAGATAAGACATGCTCGTATAAATGGTACAGTTCGCGTCTTATTTTTCCTCGTATAAATGGCCCTATTGTGTCAGATCACCAGAAATATGTATCACCTTTAAACTTTCTCTCCTCCTTTGTTTCTTTGTTTGTTTTTTTCTTTACGATGCTATTACTATACATTCTCGTTATACGCCAGCAATGGCACGTACTTTCATATTAAAGTTATTGAAACTCTTAGTCAGAATAAACCCAATAAAGGTGACCAATGAAACTGGGCGCTTAAAGGCCCATCCTCAAAGGCAGGCCTCAAAGGAGTTGTGTCGCATTCAAACATTGCGAACATTCCATCAAATTGAGTGAATATATATATATATATATATATATATATATATATAAAACACTCAAAGCGCTAAAGAAATAAATAACACAGCAAATACAAAGGGAGGCACGGATGGACGAACTTGAAGAAGATTGAAACGGGTTGCAATTGTGGTTTGTAAAAACTTGTTAGCCTCAAAACTTGCGTTCCTTTTGGTTAGTATAGACTTAGAATCGATGAATTGACAAGTACTCATAGACAAGTAGGGTGGTGGATGATATCCTCTGAAGTTTAGTGAAACGCGCATTTAGTAGCGCATTGAATCCTGTAACATCGAGCGTCCTTGAGGTTTCTTTTTTATAGTAGACTTTGAGAACTGTAGTGTCGCTGACAAAATGAAAATCCTGTTCGGTTTTGGCTTTCGTTTTTGCATTTCAGTAGGTAATTGTTTTTATCACAGTTTTATCTCTTCCTTTCCGTTTAGATAAGGACAGTGCTGTAAACGTTTGGATAACGTCCATTCATCTAAGATATTCGGACTGGCGGAGCTTTTCTACTAAACCTACAAACTTCGTGGCTTTCGTTTTCACCTAGTGTTATATCAATGCATTGCGATTCACGGTGTCAAAAAAGGTCGCCCGCCAGAATCTTCGAATGAAAGTACGCCTACTGCATGTCCTCGAACTTATACCGGCAGAGTGGATAGCACTTTCGGATGAGACGAAAAAACCACCTTAACCTTTCGAGACGTCAACTTAAGTTCTTTAAGACACTGACCGGTAGGTTCGGTGTGTCAGCCCTTAAAGGACCGGGTAGCCTGAGAAAACAGCTGACTTTTCGCGGGGAAACCAGTGGTGGCGTTGCAAAATGTCGGTTGCTTTCTCAGGCTAAGAATCACGCTGTTAGTTTTTTGTACTATTTTTGTATTTGTTTATATTTTACAGCTTATGCCCTGAAATGCAACGAATGTTTGTCTATGAAAAGCTGGGATGCTTGCAAAAACATGACAACAGAGGCAACCTGTGAGGACGGCTGGGATCGTTGTCTCACAGAAGAAGTAAAATCTGAGAGCCCAGACAAGACAGTTAAACTCTTTCTCAAAGGATGCGCCCCTTCATCGCTATGCAGCCTGGGCTCAAAGAACTGCAGACCGACCGAATCCTCAGCGAAAATCACCAAATGCGAAGTCGACTGTTGTAAAGGTGACCTGTGCAATGGAGCCCAAGTACCAATGGTCAGCGCCATCATGCTTTTGGCATGCGCTATGGTAGCTTTTGCTCGTTAGGTTTAGACGAAAAGAACCCAAACATTGTCGAAAGCTAAGTAACATGTTTTAAATTAAATGGACATTGATTTTCTTCTAATGTAGCTTTTTTAAAACTTTGTCAATTTTGAATCCGATTTGCTGTAAGGGTATGGAACAAATTTTTCCAATGAATGTTGATCCTCGTGTAGTTAAGGTTTTTTATTTCAGTTTTTGCAATTAGTGAAATAAATAATGTTTTTTCTTCTATTGATTTATGCTGCTTTTAGTTTAAAGGATGCATAGAAAGCCGTTTTCCTTTGATAGGTCTAAAAAGTCCACCGATACTAGGCAAGGAAGTAGCTACAGTTCTCACCAACTTTCACTTAATACATCTTCATACTAGTTTCTGCAAGTCATGGCCATAACAGCAAAGCGACTTTCCTGCGTACAATTTTTGTTGTCACCATCTCTCTCCTATTGAAACTGATAAAGGAGCGAGGAACTAATATAGGTGGAATATGATGTGGACGCAATTTTTTCGAAGTTAGTTTAAGTAACGCCCGTAACAAGTTATATCCAGGCTTGAGGGTGAAACTAAGGGGCCTTCGATATGTTCACTTTTCCCCCGCTTAACGTCAACTGGACGTTTAGGGAGAGTGGGGTGAGGCAGAGGACGTTCTAGTAGTGGGGACATTTTTGGGTGGGGGCAAGGATGGCGCAGTGGTGAGAGCACTAGCCTCCAGGGCGTTGAAAGGAGCGGGTCGAGCGATCTAGCTGTGATGCAAGGGTCTGGATACTACCAAAGAGACAAAACGAGATGGCAGACATTGTACTGGACCGTTAAAGAGATTATCCAGCGAAAGTTAGCCATTATCCCGTGGCATTCATTTGCTGCAAGCAGTAGTGAAGGAACAAATTATTTTTTCTCACGTTCGTTTTCTGCTTTGTTCAATTTTTCCCCCGCGAACAAATATCTGTATTGAATATAGTTCCACCTCCTTGACCTGTATTAAAATTTCGTGACTTGGTAAGAAAATGGCATCACAACTCAGATGATAGCACTGACATCATTTTTAGACTAATATTATCGGTTCTCTACTTCAGGTTAATATCAAGTTGTGTAATTCATCATCTGCTATGGCATTTATTTTTTGCTGCCCAGTTTCAAGGCCAGATGATCATAATCTGTTTTCACTATTAAAGTTTGGATTTGTTGGTGTACATCAGTATTCTTCTCTAAACACCTTATTGAGCTATCTCCAATATTGAGCATTACAGTTGGGCAGATTGTGAAAACTAAAGTCCGGGTAAATTTAAAATATAATAAAATCATCACTATTTTTTATCTTGTACACTAATACTACTGTGCAATGAAGAATAAGTATGTGAAAAAAATATAATTCACTGCCCTTGAAAAACTAACAAAGAGGTCGCAAGAACACAAATAAGTAGCCCGACAAATATTTTTGTTTGATAATGACAGCTTTTTGTAATGAAATGGTCAGTGAAAACTACCCATGCAAGAGATACTAAGGAACTTAAAGGAAACTAAACATTCACTAGTCTTACATTGAAACCAGACTTGACCATATATCTTACAGATACAACATAAAACATTTATATAACATACAAATTCAAAAGTATGTTGCAAACAAGAAAATTATACAGAATTATGCACAAATGAAATACAAATGGCCTGCAACAGCTACTAAACCATAGAAAAACAAACTTTTTAGAGTGACCATGCAGCAACCCTAGCACACTTGTATACTTCATGTCTAGTATGATTCAGTTTCATTCTTGGTTAAATTTGTTAACTGCAGGCAGGCTTAATCAAACTTGATTCAAAAAATACTTTCCTGTTTCGTTGTCTACAATATATAATATTAAGAGAGAGGATATAATGCTAGAAATATTATACAGTAGTACAATCAAAAGATGAGGCACCTCCAGGAAATCGAGTTGGTCCCTACTATTCTTCAGTCATTTTCTTTTACTCTCTATAAGAGTTACACCTGTCCATTAATAGAGACATTTTGTGCCAGTCCCAATAGTTTCCATCTGAGAGCTGACTGTAGTTTGTGCAACATCACAGTTAAGCCTCTGACGATAAAAATACAATGCTACACAGTATTAATTTATTCTACTTGCAATCAAATTAAGAACTCTTTATGTTCTTCTTCATATTCACGGTATTGTGAACTCGTTTATCTTTCAGTTTGTGTTCTAGTAGTCTTTTCAGGCCGGGCACTCACTGTTGTCCTGCAAAAAATCATAATAACAAACATATTCTATGATTTAATTTTACAGTGGAATCTTTGCCGGGATTTGAAAGCAAATTTCTCCATAGGCTTCATTCTGTTTCTGTGTAATACAACCTTCAGATTTATACCGCAGTGAAGCAGAATTTGTTGTTGTTTATGTAAAGACTGTCACATGAGATCATACGAATGCAATTTTCTAAGAGAAATTTAAAAACCAGAACCTTCTTGGATCGTGGTTCTGTAACTAAAAAAAATTATTTACCAGCTTAGTGTAT